TTATATTAAATTTTTTATATTATTATTTATTTTATATTAAACCTTGCGTGGACCCCCTGACGTTGTTCAGAGACCACCAAATCAATTTTAATTTTTCACGGACCACCTGATTGATACTGGGGACCCCTGGGGGTCCGTAGGGATGGTTTGGGAACCACTGCTCTCGTAGATAAAACAATGTTTTAACACATTTATACTTAATTAGGTATTATTATTTTATATTCAAACTCCTCTTCTAGAACCAAGATAAAAAATTTTCTTATTGTATGGAATATCATATTTTTCCTCTCTCACAGACACATACTCTCTCTCTCTCTCTCTCTCTCTCTCTCTCTCTCTCTCTCTTTTTAAATAATGTGTAAGCAGCAGCTATAGATGTGTCAGTTTTTAGGTTTAAAATCAAACTACTTTGAGTGAACTAAGTTTCATTTAAGTTATTATTTACCATTAATAATGAAACTTAGTACAATTTTATTTTTCTTTAATTAAATTTACAGATCAGAACGGTTTGTGAATTTCATGATTTATCTGAAAATTGCCATCAGAGGGAGAATGTTATCAGTCTATCTAAATACAATGGAAACTTCTTTAACAGTTCAAATAAAAACCTTGAGGTGATTGAATATCTTTAATTTTTAATTGTTTGTTGCCTTCAAAAAGTTTATTGTTACAAAATTTCAGAAATATAATGAGCATTTACAAATAAATGCCAGACACGACTCTGTAGATGAGGAGATTTTGTTGGAATTCAAGAGATCAGTTAGTTCAAGTAAATATATTATATACTCTTTTTGTACAAGCCTTTTCTTTTATTATTATGTATCATGTTATTATTTTGTTTTGTCTTTAGGTTATATTTTAGAAAGTAAATCAAATTTCTCGTCATTAGTTGAAGATGAACTGAAAAAACCTTTAAATAAAAATGTACAAACTTTAATATCTGAAGCTTCCTGTGCTGTAGGTGTCAATACTATACATATATTATGTTATATTTATTTAACATTAAAATTCCTTACGTATCATTGAATGTTCCAGCCTGTTAGTGCAACAGATAATGGAAAATATGATGGAAATACAAGTGATAAAAGTGATTTTGAGAAAAAATGTAAATCATTTACAAATAGTAGTGACAGGTATTAACAACTTCTTTAAAAATCTATTCAGAACATGAGTAAAATATATAAATTTTTAGTTTTGATGAATTGTCTGATGACCAAGCACCATGTTCTGATTGTGATTCAGAAATAGAAGGTATGTGCTGTTTAAATATTGTAGCTTTTTATTTTTGTGAGATCAGGATAATCGGGAAAGACCTAACTAAAATCTTTTGTTGTTTATCTTAGTTCTAGAGTTCACAGGATTTACTGCAAAAGATATTCATTTGGCCATTCAGAGCATAGAGCAGAGGAAGAATATTGTTGGATCATCGGGTGTCACTACACTTTGAATCCATCGAATGTGTTTATGTAATTTGACAGATTGTTTTCATGTTCTTACTAAAGAAAAGTAAGATGTTAAATATTCTATTGTAACAAGTGCGTAACCACACAACCTAAATAATTCAGGTTTGATTATCATGCAGTTGTTTACAACTAAAGTGTCTGTGATGTTAGTTTAGACTAAACCCACTGAATTTACAACCCCACATTTGAAAGAAGTATGGTAACTTCTTTTTTATCGACTGCCTTAGTAACTTTACCATACTTCTCAGTGGAATATGTATAGTCAAGTAGTCTTCAAAAATATAGAATGTATAAGATAATTTCTATAATCAGATTGGCTGAACTGATTTTGGCATCATAGTTTTATTGTTATAAAAATAATTATATTTATTTTATTAAGCAAGATAATATTATTAATTATGTGTAGTGATTAGTGACTGTTAATCAATATTTATTTAGAAATCGTGAGATGCGGTCTGGTGTGATGTAGGTTTCAGAAAATGTTTTTCTGAAACCTACATCACACCAGACTGCATCTGACGATTTTTAAATAAATTATTAATTATAACAATGGATAGTAACTATCTAGTTATTACATAAGCACATAATATATTTATATTAAATATACATACTAATGAGTTTAGTGTTTCGATACATTTTTTTAATGCCAAAGGTGGCTCAGCTATAGTCAGAATATGTATAAATGTTTTTATGAGGGTTATTTAAAGCAAACAGAACAATCTATTTTATTAAGCTTACAAAATATATTATTTTTTACATATTTTACTGCCCTAGAAATACATTTTCCCCATCAGATTGGTTGTTTTTTATTGTATCATCATAAAAACTCTTGGGATGTTCTTTTAGTTATTGGAGCACAGATGCTTCCACCGCTTCATTATTGCGTTGAAACACTGACCTCCAAGTGCGTTCAAAAAGATAAAAGCACAAAGTGACAAGTCTGGACTATAATAGGGTGGCTGTAATAACGTTTCTCATTCCGTTGTATTCAATGTTTACCTCACAGGGTTAACCGGTATATAGCCTGGCATTGTCATGCAAGTACACTTCCGATTGTTTCTTCCTTTTCCTCCTAAATGTCACCTTTGCAGCGTCCGATAATTCTCAATAACGTTGCACATTAATTGTGTGTCAATCATGGAGATTTTAAGCCGCCTCAATCACTCGTCCTTGGGCGGCAATTGTGACTCATTCTCAACTTTTCACTCCAGAAAATTATTTTTGCCCAGAAAATACGCGGGTTTTTGACAGGGTGTTGTCCTCTTACTTAAGCCCCCTTTAATCGTCCCAAAATTAGGTTCACCCCCACCTTGATCTAAATGTGTGATGATTAGTGACCATTAGTCAATGATTATTCAAAAATCGTGAGATGCGGTCTGGTGTGATGTAGGCTTCAGAAAAACATTATCTTTATCATGCCAACATTTCGATCTTTATTGAGATCATCTTCAGGGCTCAAAGTGTTTGTTTTCTGTATAATTGTGCCATTCTTGCGTGTCGTGTTGAGAGTGCCCACGACACCAAGATGATTTCACTAAAGATTGAAACGTTGACATGATAAAGAAAATGTTTTTCTGAAACCTATATCACACCAGACCGCATCTCACGATTCTTGATATAAACCTTGATAATAATCTGTTACTACAGTCCCATTTATATTTGATACACCCTCGTATTCGAAAAATCCTACAAATGGATCAAATAGCAGCTGGAGCATTTGCATTTAAGTATAATGCAGTTTCATTTCTTTTTATTTGATAAATTTATAGTTGATTTTTGTGTGCATTTTTTAACTTAATTAATTTCTAATGAACAAGCAAAAAAGTTAAGGGGAGCTAATTAAACAATAAAATATAAAAGCATAAGACTCTGAAGTAAACTCTCATCTGGGCAAATAATACTGTTTTTAAAATAATAAAAATACATCTCGAATTTATTTTCAGCATTCATTTTGTTAAACGAATTGGTATGGAAAAAATATGGTCGATTTTATTGTCAATGGAATATTAGATATTTTACTTGTAGATAATTACACCTACCAGTTTACTAGATTTATTTCTAGTTATTTTTTTTTTCTTTTCAGTGTTTACATTGAAATAAAAGTTATTTTATTTAAATGGAGTTTAAGGTCATGCATTTCATTTAAGCATGTTACTAGATATTTCTCATACAAAGGAGCTTTGTTTTGTATACGTTTTATATTTAATATTATTTTTTAAATTATTTTACTTTTTACTTGGACATTTAGATATTGAACTATTTCTACAGATGTTGAGGTTCTTCAAATTTTATTTTCCTGCTTGCTTAAGTACAACACGACTCTTCACATAATTAAAAGCAATATGGTTTTATAACTAATGATATAGTTATATCAGGTACATATCAGGGCAAAATAATTGGTTTTTTCTTAGTAATGACAAAACAATGAACAATAAAATAGTGAAAATGAGTTAATTAAAATTTTGTACACCTTTTATTAATTTGGAATGGAGAGGTAAAAAACATAATGCAGTGAATTTTTTAACTATTATTTTTGGAAATGGGGAAAAGAGTCCAGTCAGAATATAAAAACATGTTCAATCAGATGTCATCAAAGTTTTCAGTTAAAACCGAGTCACACGATAAAGGAGAGACCAGAGTATGCTTGTTTTACACATCAAATGAAGAATATCTACAGGGTAAATAGCAACAATACTACTACATGATCATTTGGAGATCGTGAGATGTGGTCTGGTGTGACGTAGGTTTTAGAAAAACATTTTTTTTATCATGCCGTTTCGATCTTTATTGAGATAATGTTCAGGGCCTGGGATTTATAAACATTGTTTAAATTTTACAAATACGTGTAGGATGTGAAAAAATGAATTTATACAATGCAAGAAATTTTAGATTAAAAAAAAAAGAATTTATACAATGCTAAAAAATTTTAGATAAAAAAAAAGAATTTATACAATGCTAGAAAATTTTAATTAAAAATAAATGAATAGAAAGAGAAGTGCCTTTGGACGGTCTAATTTTTCTAATGTTAAGGAAACAAAGTGCATCTGATTTTAAAAAAACTGAAAATTTCCGTTCCGGTGTTCTTCACCCGTTGGTGTTCACTTTACATTATTATTATTTGCTATCGCAAGTGAAAAATAGATTTTTCAAAATAGAAGACATTTTTTTCATTATTCTTCAAGCCAACGACTAATTAAACGTAATGATAATCAAGTGTTTGATTTGCAATTAATTAGTAATTTTTTTATGCATTTAAGATCTTTTCTGTTTTGTATATAAAAAAAAAATTGTTTTTGGTTTTTCATTTAAATAAGATTCTATTAACTGGTAAAAGGAATATCATTATCTCATAATTTCATTTTCTTAATTGTTTGTTTAAGCAAGAGGGTTAGTGTATTTTCATTTCACTGTGTTAAAATTATCGTAAATCTATAAAAGAAAATTCATTTTATTTAATTTTTTTAAACAAATTAGACCTTATTTTATTTTGTATAATAAAAAAAGACATTTGTTTTCGGTTTTTTCACTCAAACAATATTTTATCATCTGGAACACCATTTATATAATAATTTTGTTTGGGTTTTTACACTAGTATTATATTCTTTACAACCTTTGGGTTAAAATTATTGTTAATTTTATTATATTAATCCATGTATGTTTTTAGTAGTCATAGTTGACTGTATTTCATTTATTTTAATTAATTATACTTTTTATCTAAGGTCTTCGATGAGATGAAAAAGCTAGTGTCACGAGCGGTATTCGAACCAACAACCTTCGGCGGTTGTAATGTGCGGGATTCAAACTCATGACCTTTGGCTCAATGCACTGCTGCTCTAACCTCTTGAGCTATCGTGGCATCAATCCACTCGGACACCAACTCCCCATCTCAACCAACAACTTTTCCAATTTTCCCTTTTTTTGCCATATTTTCCAATATCTCGGCAATTTATGAAGTGGCCATGAAGAGGTGTTAGCAAAGTAAGTACTTCTGTAATTATTACATATGTGCAATTAGCAGTCATAATTGATTGTATTGATTATTTTAATTAATTATACTTTATATATAAGGTTTGGTTAATTTAACTAACATTCTCTTTTTGATGCAGTCGTCAATTTTGTTAACTTCTATATTATTCTAACTTGCATAAACAAGGGTCAGATTCACTCCTTTGGAACAAGTACAATTCCCGACTAACGTACAAATCTTGTGCAATTATTAAAAAGTATTCTAATTTTTCTTTAGTAGAAGTGTGATTGAATGAAAAAAGAGTAGATAGTACTGCAATAAATAGTAAAAAACAGTAAAATAAGGCTTTTTTGGTCAGAGAGAAAAATTTATATTTCCAAAGTGAATTTAAAATCCCATTCTCCCTAATAGCAACAAACCCTAAATTAAAAATCGTACCGAGGTTTTACACCTGATTAAAGAAGGGTATTAAGGCAAGCAAGCCAAGAGGAAAATCTTCAGTTGGCAGAAGTGTGTTGTAAATAATAACCAATTGGGATTTAATTGGGCTAAGTTTGGGATCATTGTTTGAAGCTAGAAAAGTCTTTGTTAATGAGTTGAATAGATAAACCAGGGGACATTCTGTATAGATTTGGGTATCGTCGGCATATAAGTGAAATTTGGATAAATTTCAACAAGAAGGGAGGTCGTTAATAAAAATTGAAAACAATAAGGGTCCTAAAATTGCACCTGGAGAAACGCCAGTCTTAACAGGAAGGTAAGATGAGAATTTGTTATTAGGCAGTTTGACAACTTGTTTACGACATGACAATAACATATTAATTTGGAACTAGTGAATGAAAAACCAGACAAATTTTCAAGTTTCCAAATAAGTCGGCCATGGTTGACCATCCCAAAAGCATTGGGAAAGTAACGCAGCACTAATAGAGATGTAAAAGGAAAATAAATGGAGCAAGATAAATCAGGTCATGATCGAGACTAATTTTTGGATTTCATTTTTACTGAAGTTATTTTATTTGGAGTTTCATCTTTGTTAAATTTTCGGGTATAGATTGGAAGCTTCAAGGAGCTGAAACAATTCATCCAGACACTTGGATCGATCATCAAGGTCTGTCATATTGGCTAATCCTCAACCCTATGGACCTTTAAAAATAATATAGAACGAGCTTTAAAATGAAAACTTTTTTTTTTTTAAGGGACATCCAACAGCTTGTTCATTTCAGCCCCGAGTGCATGTGAAATACAACACACATTCCATATGCACTCACACAAATAAATAAATACATTCATAGCTATATACATTGCATTCAGTCTGTTTAGTAGACATAGATAGAGTATGCAATAATCCTCCGTCCACCATCAGCCCCTGCCCATTCACTCTAATAAATACATTCGCTCATACAAAACACATATTTTGATGGCTATATACAATAAAAAAAATTCCCAATTCCCCTAAAAAGCAGAACAGGGGACCCTGAAACTTGCCTGCATGCTCTCTATATGGAGCCAAGGCATGACACAGGGGCACCTGTGCGGGCTTTGGCCCAAAAGCAGGTGCCTGTGTGTCAACTGTGTATGGCCAAACCTGAACCGGGTGAGGATGATCCCTCGTCTCCTGCTCAGGTTCTCTGAGGGCCAGTCGTGCTTTTGACTCGCAAGAGCCTCTCCAATGACCCCGCCCACTGACATTGCCATCTTTCTTTTATTGTGTTTCTCATTGTGTGCTTAGCATCAGAGGGCCTGATCGTGATGGTCTGATCTGGAGGGTGGGACATCCCGTTTGTTACCCTCCCGGCTGATGTGTCCGAGAACCTAGACAACAACCACCATTTTGCCGAGGGGTTCCAGCTCCGCATATTTCTCTAACTAGAGCACTACGAGAGGGCCCACAGCAAACCTGTCCATATCCAATTTATTACTGTTAGTTATTCATCAATTTATAATTCACTAATTTTGTAGTCCACGTGACCAATTAATATACTACAATTAATTAAGGCTTTTAGTTGAGATAAAAAAGTCAATGGCACGAACGGGATTTGAACCCGTGATCTTCGGCTAGATACGCCGCTGCTCTACCACTTCAACTACTTTCTGACTACTACTTTACTGCTCTACTACTTTCTAAAACATGACTTCGATCCACTTGGACACCAACTTCCCATCTCAACCTCACCTTTTGAGTATTCCCTCCTTTTTGCCATTTTTCAATTCGAATCCCGCTCGTGCCATTGACTTTTTTATCTCAAATAAAAACCTTAATTAATTATAATCAATTTATAATGTTGATATTTGTTAAAAGTCTTGGCCCTTCTTTATTTTTTATTTTATATTCTTTTTTTTTAGTTATATTTTAATGATTGATTTGTTGTGTTGTTTGACTGTCCTATGCTTGGGTACCTGACCTGTAAGGGGGTTTGGTCTGTAAATAAATAAAATAATCTATGTAAATCAATAAGATGCTCATAAACGAGCCAGTCAACCAGAAGTGCCTCACCGACAGCGGGTCGTCACAGCGAGCACACATTGATGGAGAGCTCTGTGCCATCATGCAAGGCATGTGTGTATGACATGTGTGCCTTATTCTGAGTCTGGTGGAAAACACGTTTCATTACCCTTTGTACTTTGTTGTCGTTGGTGTTTTACCATAAGTTTAACTGATACCAGTATCGATACTTACCAGTACGATATTGGTACACCCTACCTAGAACATTCATAATGTATCGATTCGTGAGTTTATAACACGGGAAAGGCTTCAGAAGTTAAAAATATTGTTGATTTGAGAATAAAGTTGAACCGATTTGGTTTTTCCATCCATAAATTTGTATGTTGAATCTGTTATTTATACAAGATACATCGAAGTACCGTTGCCGTCCAAAGTAGGTCAAAACAAAACTACTTTCTAAAAAAAAACGAACTTTTGTTTTAATGAACATGAAATAAATTCAGTAGTGAACGATGTTGAATAGATTTGTGGAGTTTAAACTCGGTGTAAACGATTATACAGAGCTGTTGGTCGAACTTCGCCGATTGCGGTCCGTCTGCTGTTCAAAAGAGGAACAAAGAGAGATCTGCGATTCAGGAACTGTTTCAGTTTTAATCAGAATCCTTGAGAATTTGACTGTCGGTGCGAGCTACGACGAAAACGCCCTGCTCTCGTTGAGAGTGGGTTTGCAGTGCTTGGTCAACGTTGTTGTCAACAATGCTTACACTCAGAAATTTGTATGGTCAAACCATTCTACGTCCATTAAGAAATGGTGTTGTCTAGAAGATGATAAGGCGAGGAATTTTTTGTACGCACTGTATCACAGTATATTGGTCGAGAATGTCAGACTGATCGAGGAACTGCTCGACGATCGGCAGCAGATGTTGTACGCGATCGCAAGCTCCATGAAAGGGACGGAATTCTCCCAGTTTCTGCTTGAGAGGTGCATAGAATCCGGTGGTTTTAAAATTATGTACAACTCCCTCGGTATAGGTGCTTCTGAAGAGAGGATTTATTTACTGGAACTCCTCGACTCCGTCGTCACGAAAAACTTCAAATACCTAAACGAAATAGATTTTATCAGTTTGCACTTTAAGAGAAAATCGGATGCAATTTTGAAAACAAAGCCCGAGTATGTTGAAAAAGTAGATTTGAAAGAAGTTTCCTGCCTACTCGAAGTTTTAGGGCATGCCTCGACTATTGAAAATTACAGAACGGTGCTGCAGAAAGACAAGTCCTTGGTTATTAATTGCATGTATCTTCTCATAGGAATGCACAAAGCCGTTCGGGACAGAGAAGAAATTAGTAAACAAAGTGAACTGAACGCCTTAAATGAAATGATGGCCAACATGAGCACAGACGTCAGACCCTCTCCTGAATTTAATTTTAAAGGAAATCTTATTAGATTAATCGGGAACCTGGCGTACAAAAACAAAGAGGTGCAAGATATGTGCAGGGAATTGGAAGCCCTTCATGTGATATTGGACTGCTGCACGATTGACCCTAAAAACCCGTTCATCAGGGAGTGGTCTATTTTTGCTATAAAATGCATATGCGAAGAAAATTTACATAACCAAGAGTTAATCAGCGGCATTTCTCAAATCAATGTTAAAACGCTTCCACCTGACAGAATCATTGAGTTTACATAACATTCATCTTGAGAAATATTTTATGTATTGTTCACATATAATAAATTGCTTTTATTTTTATATATATTTTTTATGCTTACCCTTAAAGCTTAACAGAAGTAATACTGAATTGATTAAAAATTTCTATTAGTTCTTCTTAAAAGTTAACAATGTAAGAGAGGTCGGTGTTAATTTGATATCAGTAAATAATATAAATATTTATCCATTTACATTTTAGTGGTCAATTGACCAAGTTACTTCTTTCAATTAATTATTCCTTTTATGTAAGGTCTTGGTTGAGATAAAAGTCAGTGTCACGAGCGGGATTCGAACCCACGAACTTCAGCTAAATACGCCGCTGCTCTACCACTTGAACTACCATGACTTCGATCCTCTCTGATACCAACTCTCCATCTCAACAACTAAATATTTATCTTAATTGATTTAATTTTTTTTAAGCAAAGTGTCATTGAGTTGAAAAATTAGTGTCATGAGCAGGACTAGTCATGATAACTCAAGTAGGTGTGCCAGGGTACTGATTCAGAAGTCTTGGGTTCGAGTCCTCATGTCACAAATTTTCAACTGACATCGTGAATAACACTGCATAAAAAATAAATTAATTAAAATAGTTACTTTGGTTAATAGGACCAAATAAACACAGGTGGAAAATAATGTAGGTTTATTGTTACAAACTAAAAACAATTTAAATTGAAAAATGGCAAAAAGGAGGGAAAACTCATAAGGTGGGGTTGAGATAGGAAGTTGATGTCCGAGTGGATCGAGGTCACGATAGCTCAAGTGGTAGAGCAGCGGCGTATTCTAGCCGAAGATCATGGGTTCGAATCCCACTCGTGCCATTAGCTTTTTTTCATCTCAACTAAAAACCTTAATTAATTGTACTAAAAACAATTTTAATAAATATTAAAAATAATTTTTTAATAATTAAAATAGCCTTCCATTCTCAATACACTTTTTCCAATGTGCTAGTGACTTGTCTATATCCTCTGAATATAATTTTGAGTGTATTATTAACAAATTCGGTAAACGTATTTTCTAACAACTTTTGATCAATAAATTTTTTGTTATAAAACGTCCAGCTTTTTTTAAAAAAAAATGGTAGTCTGGAGTGTAGGGAGGGTCAGGCAGAACTTCGTAATCAAGATCCAACAGTTTTTATGATCAGTGTTCATGTGAGATGGGGCTGAGCACTGTCGTTTAACAGAATCGGCCTTTTCTGTTAATCCAAAGACAGCTAAAATAATGCCAATTTTTGGTGCATTACTTCAATTTGAGGAGCAATACATTTAGGCAATGATTGTTTTGCTGGTGTTCAAAAAGCTGTAGCAAATCACCCCAAATTACGCTCATCAGTCACCATCACCTTTTTTTTAAGATTGGGGGCTTTGGAAAATTTGGTGCTGCTTCTCTGTTGCAGAATCCACTTTTCATCACAAATAACAATTCTATCCAGAAAATGATCTTTTCTGTTTCGGCAAATGGTGTTACCTTTTTTGGTGGTTGTTTAATGCTTGATGAACCCTACTTTCGATCTTTTTCACCTGTCCAATTGCTTTAAGGTGGTCAGCGACGGATGATTTGCTAAATGAAAGATTCTCTGCAACAGTTGTTCTGGGATTTTCTTTGACCAAAGCACTGCAGAACATTATCATCGACGAAATAAATACTGACTCGATCTTTGTCTTCAAGACTGTCTCTCTCTCTCAAAAAAAAAAAAAAAAATTTAGACCATCTCTAAACAGTACTCTCACTCACTGCCATCGTCCCAAACTTCAATAATATTTTTGGCCAATTAGGCACCGTTCCGACCAAGTTTAAAATTGTAAAGAGAAATTACGTGAAAATCACGTGTTGACATCTTAGTAAAGGTTGAATTACTCCCAAGTAACGAAATGCTACTGAGGTAAACAAACATTTTTGTTTGGAAGAGGATTAAAAAGTGTTGATATTTGTACAAAATAATTATTCATCAAACATAAACAGTTTATTACATAGAGGGGTAATTAAAAGAAAACATGAAAACCAGTTGTCTGTCAGGTTTGAGTAATGCCTTTGGTTTATAATTCAGTGTTAATGATTTATTTATATGCTAATATTATGAATATTTCTTAATGAGATTTCTTCTGATTTATAATATTAATGTCTAGTTGTACAGGCTTTGAACTCATGCACTGAAATATGGCAAAAAGAGGGAAAATTCAAAAGGTTGTAGGTTGAGATGAGTAGGTGTCCGAGTGATTCAACGCCACAATAGTTCAAGCAGTTAGAGCAGCAGCCAAAGGCCATGGGTTCAAATCCTGCTCGTGACACTAGTTTTTTTTCATCTCAACCAAGCCTTAGGTAAAAAGTATAATTAATGTAAATAATTAATACATTCACTTGTGACTTCTAAATACATTTATGGATTAAAATAATATTATGGTATCATTCAATTTGAAATTGAACAAATTTTGTTGTCAAAAAATTTATACCACAAGGAAACTCAATCATTCAATTAAATGAATTTCATTGTGGCAAATCATCAAAGGAAAACATTTTCACAAAGTCAATAAGACAAGACACGTTAAAAAATATAATGTTTATTTTCTTTTACTTATTGATTTATTACATATCATATAACTTTAATTAGACTACTTCAAATCTAATATTTAGTTATAAACACTTATATTATTATTTTTATATAAAGTATAATAAACACGTTTTTTGGAATTGGATAAACTAGAGTTGTTATGACTAGCGTGTGCAAGACAAGTGCCTTATTGTGTAAAATTAAATTTTGCATACATTCAATCTTAAAACGTCAAATTAATCTTTACAGTAAGAGAATTGTACAAGATGAAAATCTTTATGATATTTATTTCACAAATAAAAAAGTTTACGTCTTTTTTTTTTTTTTTTTAATATTTATAATTTAACAATCACAATTTTATTTGCCTTCATTAAGACAGTGAAAATATTGAATATAATGAATTATTTTATTAAACAATATAAAAATTATACTGACTATAAAAGTTTTTGTAAAAGAAATTTCAAATTTCAATGAAATATTACAGAACTGACTTAAAATAAATTACTCATACAGCAAACACTCATATGCAAAGAAAATAAATAAACTTGTCAACAGTTATTGCTAAAGTCATCTTAAAATAGATAACAGTAAGATAAAAATATAAATATACTTCTATATACATACAGAAAAAATAAAAGTTTTACCTCGCTCACAAAAATAAAAACAAAATTATAACATCAATAAATTGCGAGGTTTCAGTCCTACTCGGCCGGTAACGACCGTAAAGAGTAAAGAACCAAGACGTCTGGTGTTCATTTAGGTACTTCCATTCTGCATTTGGCAATTCATCCGTTTAGTCTAGAAATAAAAAAACATTTTGAACCCATGCCTTGGCCTAGTAATCATTTGGTCCCACATTTTTTTTAAACATTTGATAAGCAGAAAATTTGTATTTAATCTTAACAAATAATACATGTCTTAGGGAATGGAAATACGTATTTACTAGTAGTTCTAAATGCTATTTACACTATTGAAGGACATTTACAAAATAATAATTTAAAAAAATAATAATTTACATAATGTATGCTTGAGGTCAGACAATTGACTCCGTCAGTTTTATCCCTCCGCTTCCGGAAAATGTTACTCTCTCTGAATTAGTCCTTTCAGTGAGTGGTGAACTCTAAAATTTAAAAACAGATTACAAGCACATTTTAGCAGGACATTGAGCAGTACCACTTATTAATCACAAAAATATCAGTAATTTCATTAAATTTGTAAAACTAATTTTAAGTAATTAAGGTTTTTAGTTGAGATAAAAAAGTCAATGGCACGAGCGGGATTCGAACCCACGATCTTTGGCTTGATAGGCCGCTGCTCTACCACTTGAGCTATCGTGACTTCGATCTACTCGGACACCAACTTCCCATCTCAACCCCACCTTTTTGCCATTTTTCAAATGTCGTGTAATCTATTTGATTCTCAGCGGCAAATGATCCCGCTCGTGACACTGACTTTTTTATCTCAACTAAAAAACCTTAATTAATTGAAAGATATTAATTGGTCAAGCGGACCACGAAAATTAGGGAACTAATTTTAAGGTAAACCTACTCAGAATAGACAATTAATGATTAATATTGTGGGATTTATCTATGTGGTTTGCTTTATTCAATTATTTTTATTTATTTAATGCATTTTTATTTTGTAGATTTTTTATCACTAGAAAGATACATTTTTATGTATGAAAATTTAAAAATGTTTGCTATTTAAAATAAATTAAAGGCCTATTTTATGTCTTTTTTAGGGACTGGTTATACCAATATGTATAAATAAATTCTTTTAAAAAATGCATAACTAAATGTTTTTTATTTAACATTTTTTTACTTGGGTATTTTTTCAAAACGCACAAAAATATATATGCACATTTATATTTTATTTCACATAATAAGTTCCTAGTTGGGTAAGAACTTGATTTGACAAGAGCGAAAGGGCTGGGTACCTCCACGCATGTCTCTGACTGCCAGTCCCTAGTAAAATCTTAGGACTGTTTTGATGGTCCAAAACCAGTGACAAACCTGTTGGAACAACTGCCTGACTGTTTGAGTTTTTGGTTTGAGCCAGTTTGCTGATGGTTTGACAAGTCATGGAACACTCAGTTAGGGAATCGGGCAGCCATTGCAACAAACAGAATAATAGTCTACTGTCGAGGAGCATCAATTGGGGTAATTACTCTAGTAAATAAGCTCATTCCCAGTTAGAGTTGTGGCTGACTTGCCTTGTTTGACTTTTTGAATGTTTATTACAATAAAGGTGGCCATTCACGATCACTCCAAATGGAACCGCGCCAAGCCGAACAGCTCCACTCCGAGCGCCTGAAATTTGAGGGGGCATTCACGACCGCTCCACAGCCAGTCGCTCCGAACGTCAACCAGTGAATTACCTTCTCAAAATGGATGACGATCTCTTGTGCTACTCTTCTGTTTATTTACATATTAAAAGCAAAAAATCGAAGAGAAAATGGTGTAAGAAGTGGCTCCCGAACAGAAGCCGTAATACCCACATCAATTTGATGAAAGATCTTTCCCTTGAACCCGCTGATTGGAGGAACTATTTAAGGATGGATGAAATGTCTTATTTATTCATTATATTTAGTGTTCTATTGACCAAATTACTTATTTCAATTATTTAATCTTTTTTGTAAGGTTTTGGTTGAAATGAAAAAGCTGGTGCCACGAGCGGGATCTGAATCCATGGCCTTCGGCTAAATACACCGCTGCTCTACCACTTGAGCTATCGTGACTTCAATCCTCTCCAACACCAAAAAATGGCAAAAAAAGGAAAATTCGAAAGGTTGTAGGTTGAGATGGGGAGTGGTGCCCGAGTGGATCAAACTGTCCAAGTCAGGATAGCTCAAGTGGTTAGCGCAGCGGCGTATTTAGCCAAATGTCGTGGATTCGAATCCCCTCGTAACACTATTTTTTCATTTCAACCAAAACCTTACAAAAAAAAGATTAACGTCTTATTTATATTTACTCCAGCTGATCGAATTTCTTTTATTTCTATCGTGGTAATATAATCATTGTCCACCACTTTCATAAACATGGTAAACTTTCATACAATTCAATCACCTCAACAATAAAATCTCGATTGGATATCATTACCAATAAAGAATAAACGTTTTTGACTTTTTGAGAATGTACGACGGAGATGTTTGCTCAGTGATAGAAATACGGAGACTGCGCCAAAAAAAACAACAGTTTTCCCATTCACGACCAGGCCACCGCGCCAAAATCCCCACCCTCCACGCCAGGTTTTCCCATTCACAAATGTGCCATGCCGTCGTACGCCATAGATATTTGGAGTGGCGCGATGGAGTTTGGACCGGTCGAATATTCGGCACAGCCGGGCATGCCAGTTCAGTTTTGCCATTGACGTGGTTTTTGGAACGGCGTCACTCCGTTTGGACTGCTTGGAGCGATCGTGAATGGCCATCTTAAGACAGGCCAGTATAATAACAAATGTTTATACATACTATCCCTTTGGTTTATTGTATGCTATTTTTGGAGCCTTACCTTCCCCCACCCAAAAAATAGTTAAGCACATTCACTAAATTTCTCTTATCACTTAGTGACAAGCACATAAGAGTGTCAGCGCATGCTTACCACGTCTTTCGCAATTATAATTTTTTTTTAAACTTACATTGTTGACTTTTGCTGCATCGTCACTGCTGTTATTAACAATGTTAGAGCGTTTTATAGGTGCTGTAGCATATTGTCTCGAGTTCCTTGCGAATTGCTCTTTATTATCTACTCATAAAAATGGAAAATTGAGTAAGTGGAAAACATTATTACTATGATTAGGTCTATTTGATTTACCCATTTTTTGTAATGGATTGGATGGGAGTAATCTTGTCGCCCAGTGCTCGGTGGTTGAAGAGGCAGATGAGGACGAGGAAGGTGATAGAAGTCCCCTCCTTTGATAGAAAAGGATGTACGCTGAAGACGTGACAAGCTGCGATTCACTCACAGTGCTGACAGTGGTGTCATCAAAACAGTACCACTCTCCATTGTATGGATTTCTACAATAAGCTGTACACACAATGTTTTTAAAAATCAAATGTAGGATACAAAAATTTGCGAAGATTTTTATTTAGTTACCAGTGTAATGCCCTGTATGTAAATTTTGACCATGGTGATTGCAAACAGCATACAAATCATATGTATTATGCTGGGGAGGATTGTTGCTGTTGTTGTTATTGTTGTGTTTCCACCAAGGGCCACTGCTCCCACTTCCACACAGATGTGGCGTCATGTCAAATCCAACAGCCGGGAAGTCGACAAGAGTTGTAAGTTTAATTGTAGATCTGTAGTGATATAATATATATTTTATTTTCCCTCTTTTTAAGCATGTAATTCAGTTCCAATTTTTGGCCATCCTCTGTTTCATTTTTATATAAATTATTTATTTCTCTTAAAAACAATTTTGTCATAATTCAATTATTTATTATAATTCTCCAACAATTTTTTTTATATAAAAAAAATGAACAATGTTTGTACGAGTTGCCAAAATGTCACCAAAAAAAGGTACTTTCTAAAGTCCTTAAATTTAAAAACAAGCTACACTTTATTAGCAATAAAAAAATATAAAAACCGTGCTTCATTGATGGCTTTACCTATTATGATTTTTGGCAGGTGGTTGCCTGAATCTTTTCAAGTGAATGACTAAAATGTCTGGTAGTGTCCAGAGGCCGAGTTTCTTTACGACCTCTTGCTTCAAATTACAGTTGGGACAGTGCCATGCATCTTCTGCTCCCAAAACTTCTTCTTTTGTATAAAGCTAGGAGGGGGATGAAAAAAGTTTAAAATTAAATGCTTACTTTGTTTCTTTGTTATTGTTGTATTTTTCTATTTTTTATATAGATGAAATATTCTTTTTTGTAGGCCTTATAATTTGAAGGTGTTTTTAACAATAAAATTCATGATTTAACAATTTTATTTTAAAAAACACCAAATTGTACAAAAAAGAATTTTTCAAATCAATTTATATTTATTTTATGTAATTTATTTACCTCGAAACATTCTTCCAGAGTAACAGAGCCACCCAATTCTGCATTTTGCTTCAATTGTTTTACACTTGAATGCTCTTCAATATGATCTGTGTCATCAATTACCATACTGGAAAAAAAATCCATAAAAGAATGAACACTTCTTATCAAAAAACACCTTTTATAATATTACATTTGGAGGAAAATCTGTAAAATTACCTCGATTTGGCTTGGAGATCCCATTCTAACACTAACTTTAAATGAGGAGGTGCAGAGGTAGTATCACACAAGGCAATAGCATTGTCGACCGATTCATCATACAGAGGGTGCTCAAGGGTTGGATCAAGATAACTAGTAAGGCAACCTGGTGAAACTATCCTCATTCTTATTCTACCTGGCATATCCTCCTTAAAAAAACATTAAATTTAAAAATTTAAAAAATCTAACTAAATCCATTGCATAATTTAGAAATAGAGCAATTACAATATTTGACTCAAGGACGCCATCAGCTACTGACCAACACATCTCTTTAAGGATGAGTTTTTCAACATCAGCATATGAAGTTTCTCTAAAGACTTGCATTGTATATGGGCTACTGAACCTGGAAACAAAACGTATTTACAATTTTAAAAAATAATTAAGTTTAAGTGATGACTGTTTAACTCCCTCTCCCCAATATGGGACTTTTGTAACTTTACAAAATAGAAAAAAATTCCACAAAAAAAATTGTTTATCACTACAACTGATACAACTGGCTGCATTTGCCTTGGTTTAAAAAAATCAAAGCTAAACGAAATAATAAATTATTAACTATACAGGCTTTAATTTGAAATGTTACTGTGACTGTGAATTAAAAGCACTGACCTTGCACACTGATCATCGACAATTAAAGTATTGACCCATACAAGCAGTATATATTCGCCGGTATCTTGGGTTGCTTCTTTGAGCTGAGGAAGTTCTATGCAATAGATGGGATCAGTCTCTTTTATCATGCTCAGAGGTTGATTATCTAAACAAATGTTCATTACAAGTAAGAAGGGATATTTGGCAGATGTTTCACACACAAAAAATATGACTTACCTGAGAAGGTTCTTTGAAAGCCAAGATCATCAATTTCGGTAATGAGCATGTGTTGTTCACAGATACCAGTGTCAAGAGCAAGTTGCTCTTTCAGGTCTCGTATTTCTGCATGTGCAGGCAGAGATAGACCAAGTTTGACCTTGAGGAATAAAACAAGTGAAATTCCATAACTAGGTAATATTTATATATGGCCAAAGTACACGGGAGGAACCACAACTGACCTGCCTTGGTTGCTGTGAGGTGTAAAGGACGGTGACAAAAAATGGTCGGAGTTGATCCTGAGGCACTGGTACAGAGACACAGAGAAACGGGTCAAAAGTGTTGCTCTGCCTATGGCACCTTGGACATGTCAGCGAAGACCGGAACTGGGCCTGAAAAACAGCCAATACGAAGCTGTCATTCTGTCGGACATGGTTTGCCAGTGTTTCGGCTGCCACAACTTCATCTGGTCGCCCGAATGAGTTCTGAAAAAAAAATTGCAGCATAAATCGCACGAACATCAGTCAGCATGCAGTGATTACTATTAACAATGCAGCAATTTGATGATCTAATTAGCACAAGTATTAGCTTGAATTTGCCATAAATTATTGTATTTATCTGGAGAATATGTATTAGTATAATCAGACCCACATGCAAATAATTAGGCAATAATGAGAAATAGGTATATGTCCTATTTTAAACATGAGAGTTAATTTCATTAAAAACCCATAAGCAAGTCTCAAATGCACAAATACTATCAAATGGAAATTAAAGCTTTGTTTAAACATTGTTCAATAATAAAAGGAAACAATTATTTTGTGATATAATCTAATATTCAGGTGAAACCCTCTTTTTAAAACAGAATAATAAACAGTGTTTTTGTGATTACTAATACTGAAAAGTATTTTTTTTATTTCACTTTGATTTAAATGTTTTCAATGACAGTCGGCAATTTTTTAGGAGAGTAAAAAAATCATATTAATTAATTAATTAGATTACTTAATCCCTTGTTAATAATAGAGTTGATATTGGCACTTATTTGATATTGATATTTACTTTTTTAGTCCCAATGGAAGTGAAGTTCATTCACCTAAAAATTAATTTACAATTGAAATTGCCTTAACAGAGGGTGGGGTGTGCTACAGGGGATGTGCTGAGTCTGCTACTGTTTCCATTATTTATTTACAATGTTGAGTTCTTTTTTAGGGAAAGGGGAGTTAAAGGTCTCAGTTTGGACAGCTATAGTGTATATAATTGTAAATTAAATTCTTTAAAAGTTAACCCTGAAAAGTCTAAACTTTTAATATTTTGCAATGATAGCAGTAAAAAACATAAACATTTTATTTATGACAATAAAGAATTAAACAATGTAAATTTTCTTATACCTGGGGGTGCAATTTAATAGTTTCTCTTTTTTTCTAGAAACTACCCACTGCACAATTAGAAAAATTAATCTAGCTATCAGAACAGTTTTAAATATTCTTAAATCAACAAAGTGAGAAACTTGGAAATCTCGAGTAACACTATTTAATAGTATCGTTAGAAGTACCCTGCTATATAGATCACCTGGTTGGTCTTTGAGGTATGTAGCTTTATTAGAGAAGGCCTAAAGTAGTTTCTTCAAAAGACTACAGTCTTATTATTTATTTATAGATTGTATAGTTAGACAGGAAAGTGGTATCCCTCATATGACGTTCAAATATTAATGTTGATAATTGGGTGGCTATGTAAAGTGCTAAGAATGCAAGCAACCAGTATTTGCTACAATAGGTATTTTCTCTATACAATTATATCAAGTAATATAACAAAACTTAACTGGGTGTTGCAAAAAAAAAAATTATTTATAGTTAGTTTTTTCTATACCGACATCCTTCCCCACCCCTTCAAAATCCAATGTATATAAACACAAAATAGCAAAATCTCATTAGCACTCTCGACACGACACAAGAATGGCACAATTACACAGAAGACAAACACTTTGAGTGAGTAGAAATACTTTGATTGAATATATAAAAAATATATTTTGCATTGTATAAATTCACTTTTCCACATCCAAAATGTAATTGTTATATGTAAACAATGTTTGTAAATCCCAGGCCCTGAAGATGATCTCAATAAAGATCGAAACGTTGGCACGACAAAGAAAATGTTTTTCTGAAACCTACATCACACCAGACCGCATCTCACGATTTCTAAATAAATATCGATTAATGGTCACTAATCACCATACATTTATAGTTAGTATTTAACTTTTTTATCACAACTAAAAACCTTAATTAATTGAAAGATATTAATTGGTCAAGCGGTCCACGAAAACTAGTGAATTATTTATAGAGTTAAAAATTATGGTTACAGCAAAGCCCATCATAGTTTAGTCTAAAAATAATTAATGTCATTCAAGCAGCACCTAATCAATAAGGATCTACACTCAGTATCAATCATGCTACAATCCAATTTATATTTTGCCATTGAGAGGTAAAATTCCCCAAGATTACTTGTTGACAAAAATGCCATTTGCAATTACTAAACAGCACAAATTATAGCCTACACACCATTATGTAAATATTATTTTGAACAACTTAATGTTACTAACAACTACGTAATTAATACATTAAATATATTGTCCACAGGGTAACCATTTTCTATCAATACACGAAAAGCATTATAAGCGGAAATTTTTTATTGATGTATGAACATATGAATGTAATTCCATTTATATTTTCTATTGTATTCTGTTTGACTTATTTTTAATTAAAATATATCTATATCTCTTTGTATGACCTATGCTCTTTCACAAATAAACATTTTATTCTATTCTTTGTTTTATTCAATTACAATTTCACTTTGTATTAATAATAATTAAATTGGAATAAAGTGTGACTACAATTGTCAAAAACTTAATACCAACAATTGCATTTACAGGTAATTAACATAATTCTCCTCTCTGGTGAATTTTAAAATTAAAATAGGACAATTTCATTATTTTATACTACAGTTTGTGAATAGAGATATCCTTTTTCAACTATTAAAAATCTGTTTCTCTGAGCCAATTGTCACAGATTAAAAAATATAATTCAATAAAGTTGAATATTTATTTATTATCTTATTATTCACTCTATTCCACAGACAGAGACCAAAAACTTTTTGTTAAGCAGTTTTTACTCTTTTTGTACCCCTTTTCAGCTGTTTTGACTCTAAAATGGGCAGTTTATGGAACGCTGTATTAAGTATGGTTTTGGTTGCCTCTATCATTAGAATTGAGTGAGTAATAAGATAAAAAATTATTTTTTTAATACAACCTATTGTAGAAAAATAAGAATAACAGTATTATCAAGTATGATAATACAGTTGTTTATGTGTTGAATATGATGTATTAACTGGTAATCCATATTATGGTATGCAACAAAAAACGTATATTATACTAATGTTAAGTTGTAAGGAAAAACTGACTACCTCTATCCAACGTATTACTCTTTGCTGTTTTTAGGCAAACAATTAACATAAATCGATTTGAACAGGACGGGCGCTTATATTTTACAACCGGTACGTTTACTGGGCAAGAATGAAAATGAAAATAAGTGTAATTGTTTTCAGAAACAATAACATTGTTGTTTCTATTAGTCAGTCAACGTGACACAATATCTTTTCGACCGGTTAACTTATTATATTATTATATAAGCTAAGTTACTTTTTTCAGTTCACACGAATTAATAATGCGGATAAATGATTAATGCTAATAGGAAGCAAAAGAAAAAGTTAACTTGTAGTTTGTATAAAAGTCGTAAATATTTTCTATTTCTAGGCAGATGGTCCTTTCCAGGAAAATTGTTTCTGAGGGGTGGGAAATGCGTCTGCCTTGAATTCCTGTGTTCGATCTTCATGCAAATCGTCAATGTTTCCTTTATTCTTTATTATTAATATTAAGTACAACATGGGATAATTCCCAAGTAGTACATTCTTACATAACATTTGTTTATGAGTAGTAAGAAATATGTATAAAATTTATAAGCAGCATAAAATATGCCCAGTGCAAAGTTAAAAGTGTAAATACGGTACGTAACACAATGCAATACAAAATATAAACAGGTTAAATTATTGCCACAAATGACTTTTTGCAAATTTTCTTAAAGGTATCAAATTAACAGGCCAGAAACTTTATACTGACAAAATTGTCTTCAAAAGCCCACTAATAGAAAGAAATCAACCCTCACTGTTCGTAAGGAGCTCGATGAAATACAGGATAAAATAACATCTCTATTCATTCTACTGGGAACTAGGAAATTTATTTTACTTAATCGCTCTGGACAATAATAGACCCCATTCACCGACTTCCATAAAAAACATATGCCAAGGACCAAATTACGATTCTCAAGGGCCATGAGCCAGCACTCCTGAGCCGAAGAACCATATTTTCCCCCCCATGAGTCCCATTTTAAAAGCCACGCATTTCACGAACCTTTTTTGTACCTATTCCATTTTGATTGAATAAACAAATTCTGAGGAAACCAAACAGAGAAGCATTAGTCAAAAATACTCCTAACAATACAACAAATAAATAAATAATAATAATTTTAATGGTTTTTCAAATTTGTAAAGTCTGAGGTGTTCCTTTTAATAAAGCCCAGATTGTGGTATCCTTTAGAAACTACTTGCTCAATATGCTTCTTAAATGTTAGTTCACAGTCAAATACCATGCCAAGATCGTTAATTTCAGAACAGTTGTCAAAAGCAGGGCCACCCAAAAAATAGGTGAAGGAAACCCCTTTTTACCATTATAAAAATAAATAGAAAAAATTAAGATTAAAATTATTAAGATTAATTCGAGAACCAATCTAAATCCTTTTGTAACAATTTAATAGTCATCAATGCAGTTCATCGTTCTGAAAATTTTAATATCATGGGCAAGTAATAAAAACTTAAGAGGATTGAATAACTGTCTTAACAAAGTGAATGAAAAAAAATGGTTATGAAAAGAGACTTTCTCTTAAAGAGACCTCAGTTTTTTATTTCCCGCCCTAGCTCCTTAGATGTGCCGATTCTTTGGCTGTTATGTTGACCACATTGTTTTACAAATCGTTGGATTCCGGTAAATTCCAGTTCGGAAGGATTCTTATGTAGTTCCAGTTTTTAAAAAGGGCAACATAGTCGATGTTTCAAACTATCGTCCCGTCTATAATCTTAATGTTATTTCAAAAATTCTGGAGTCGATTGTGGCTGATGTTTTGCGTCATTTTGCTAAGGCATTTCTTATTGATGTACCAAATGGATCAAGGGTCGGTTCCACATCTACAAACTTAATGGCTTGCAAGAAGTGTCTGTTAGCATCTGTTAAAAATGGTAAGCAGGTTGATTCAATTTACGCTGATATTTCCAAAGCTTTTGAATGTGAATTTTTACACTGGATCCAGTCTTGTGTATTGAGAATAAACAGAATAGCCAAAAAGAAGGCTATTTGCTAAATTTCTTAGTAAAATGTCAAGTGAGA